AGGGATCCTGCATTATTCCCCGTACTTTCTTTTCCACTTACAAGAAATTATATTTTACGGGGAAAAAAATAGCTGGCATAAGGAACTGAAAGATTTTTTTTTAAATGCCCATGAGGCATCCAGATGCTCTTGGCCTTCTCCAGCTGCATTCATACTTAACTAGATATCCACATGCCCCTGCCATGCACACTGCTTCCTAATGACTGCATTTGCATTGGCCCTCATGTCTGGATTATCACTGCTTCCCCATGAGATTCTCTTAAATATGAAGACAGCAGTTTTTCACATTAATTTAATAACATAGTCCCAGGACATGATTTTTCTCCTTTATGCATTATCAATATTTGTATCATTTTGGACCCCTTAATGCTGGTTAACACGGATGGCCTTTTTCAATTTATTTAATAATTTCCTCCGATTAACACGAGCAAAGCAACAAAAACACAGTACGCAATGTGTCCCTCCAACTCAGTCATGTAAGTCACAGCCAGCTCGGGCAATTTTCACAAAGGGTTTATCAGTGTTTGTAGGCGTTTGGTAATTACATTCATACGATTGGTGTCTGTTTTGCTCAACAACAACAGTAATAATGATTACAGATTAAGTAGAGCAATGGTATCAGGACTGAGGAGAAAAACAGGAACAAACTCGCAGAGGAATGTGCTGACAGTATTACACTCTGCATTGCCACTACCGGGTTTTCATTACAACTTGGGACTGCATTTTACTTTACAACACCCCACTTCGCTATTCAGGTTTGTGGAGTAACAATAAAAGTAAAATCAAGCCCTGGAATGCCCTCAAAGAGACATTTCTTGAAACAATGTGAATTCATCGGTGCATTTACAGAACACAGAAACACTCCAACATGTTTTGGAAAGATGCGGGTAACATTTATAGTCATTTAAAGGAGTAGTATTTATATTTTAGTAATTTAGCATTTTAGTCATGACTAAATGCTGTTGAAAATGTCTGCATTAAAATTATGTTCAAAATCTAAATTATTTTGTTTTTTTTCTGACATTTATTTTTATTATTTGCTGCCTTTTTTATTTTCTGGTCACAAATGCCTAGGATGGCCTCTGCATGAAGCTCAAAACATCACTGAGGGCCTAAATATAACTCTGTAATCCTCTTTAACCTTTGACCTCTGACTACTACTATCTCTTAGCTGAGATGAAATATTCATCAGTGATAGCCTTTGTAAACTGAGGTTGAAGCACTAACATGGCCCACACAAAAAACATTATTGTAATTCTAGCTTTTGTAATTGTTTGGGCAGATTACACCTGGCAGTTCAATTTACTTTTTGTGTTCAGAAAGCAGCAGAATGCAGCTGTTGTTGAGAAGGCATTTCAGACTCTGTGCTTGAGACTTCATATTACTTCTAATGGGCAGCATTCTTCCTTGGCCTCAATCCAAGACACCACTCTTAAGCATCACCAGGAAAGGGATTTGGATTTTCTCAATTTTTCAAATCATGTACTGTAGCAAGATTAATTCAAAGCATATGCTCCAAAAATACAAATACCAATTTTACTGCATCAATGCATGCTGAATGGGAAGACTTGCATTCTTGCAGTCAATCTTTTAATAATAATCTTATTTTCCATAATTGGTAGCACTGAGCCTCATCTTTACTGACAAGGCAGTGAAGAGGCAGGGACTGATGACATAATCTCCCCTAAAACCTTGTAGAAATGCAACCGAATGACTAAATATTACAAATGGTTTAAATAAATTTACATTTACAGTAAATTAAATGCTTGCATGTATAGCGTATTTGTCCATTTGTTCAGTCGTCATTTTTATGAATATTATGCTTTTCATCTCAAGAAAGGCAAGTGAATACAATTAAAAGTTCGAATCATGTTAAGAAAATAAACACAAAGTCAACAAATTCAGTGCACACAGCTCTTCATAAATTGATAAAATACTACAGAAATAAATGCATCGAAGGTGTGATTTACTGGAAGCTACGCTAGCTTTTTCTCATGCAGAGCTGACAAGATATCTTCCACTCTGTGAGCCTGATGGTGTAGAAGATTGTGTACTTCAATATTGACTGGTTAAAAGCTTCTCAGTTGTTTTACTTGAGCCCTGTTTGTTTCTAACCTTACACTCAGCAATGTTAAAATGTTACAACAACAAAGGCTTTGTTGGACAGACACTGTATCTTTTAACTCTTGATTTAAATGTTGCAAAGGACTAGCTTGCTTTAATATCATGGTGCAGGTCATTCCAGAGACAGGAAGCAATGGAACAAAAGACAGCCAAGTCTATGGAATGAAGAGTTTAATTTTGGAAGTAGACCTAGAGCTTTGGGAGGGTGTCTGCAGTTAAGAGAGAAAAGGAGCAGTTCCCTGAACACATGTAAAAGTCAGCAAAAGTCCATTCTGTAACTCACAGGTAGCCAAAGCAGGGTTGTCAAAACAGGTATTGTTAAATAAAATGCACATTTTGGAAAGAACTTAACATGGAAGCTTTGATCATGCTCCATTTGTAGAGGTTACCAAGGCAGGAAAAAAAGGAATGCAAGAATTGTAGCATACTGTATACAGTATACATCCACTGTTAACTGTTCACAATGTTTCTTCCACAGTTCTTCACGTGCCAATTCCTCCAAGCGTCTCTAGAGATGTCGATATCTTCTAGCTTCGTGCTCTGAGATGGGATCTTTGAGACTTGTACGGCTCTCTTATTTTAAATAATTGCAAAAAGAGGAATGTTATCATCATGTCACAATGTTTGTCAATCATTTTCCAGCTAAATATGTCAGGGATTCAAATTTCCTCTTGAATAATTATTCTGTCATAGGATGAACTATCTGTGCATTCACACCAGGCAATTACGGCAGCAGACAGATAATGAGATCTGCAAAGCTTCTTGGGGTTAAATGTCCTGAAATTTTGTTTTAGTTCACGCAGCTGCTCTTGGATGATTTTGTGTTTTTTTTTTAATTTCTTACAAAACAAATCTTAAAGCTGCTTCATCTATGCTATGGGTTTGTCCACAGACATTTAATCCTCGCCAAGGTGGTATGGGGACTGTTGAGGATATAATGCTATGCAAAATGTTCTATCCAAACCAGTAGGAGGACTCCCTTCATTTGCTGCTCTATGGTACCTGCACTGTTGGCTGAAATTAGGCTGAGGTCTGAGAGCTCTTTATTCAGCTAGTCTGTGGGAATTGAAGTAGCTGCTGTGCTAGCATAGTGTATTTTAGCCATCTTCCATAAATAATGAAAGAGCTCTTGTCTGAAATCTTTTCATCCATACCAAGTTAAAGGAACTCTTCCGACAGCTGGTTTGGCTGTAACGTTGCTCCTCTATATTTTGCTCCTCATGAAAAACAAAAACACAGAACCTTTTCTCTGTAAAAATAAAGAAAAATACCCACATCTTACATGTACACACCTTTGCCATTATGGTATATTAGGAAAACTGCATTTCATACATTCTCGAATATCGTGCTTTAACCAATCTAATATAAAATCAAAAACAACCTCGCTTTCAGGATCGAATGAAGCCTGACTAATGTTTTACAGATTGAAATGAAAGAAAGGTCAGTGCTATGCATCTAGTTTGAGCACAGAAGAGCCAAACATAAGGTTAAAATTTGAATATTGATGAGTCTAGTAATGTGAGTAAGAATGCAACTGGGTATTCTGAAGGCATTAATGTTCCTGTCTCATTTTGGATTACAAACAGAAATATTGCAGAATCCAGGTGCAATTATTCATCATAATATGAAGCAATCTGATCCACTGTATTTGTTTTTGTGATTTCTGGTCATCTTTTATCAATTAGAAGGAGAGGAGTTGTAGATACATCCTGAAAGTGTTTAAATAACAATGAATAACTAACAGAAAAAAGCACTGTGAATGGAAATCTGGTTATTCTCCTTGCAAACAAAATATTTTATGTAACAATGATGTTTGTCACCATTAATGTCTTTTGGTCTTTCACAGAAAAATAAATTACTTTTTAAATAAATGACTTTGTAGGCTTTAATAAAGTAAAATGATTAGTGTATATCAGTAACAAAGTGCTGTAATTCAAACAAAAAATATCACTCAAAATCTGTATTTATTTGTGCAGCATTGTCATAATGAATTATGTTTCTTGTGATGATTAGTAATAATGAGGATACTCATTTTACAAGAACCTTACAGAATTACAAGAAAAATAGTAATGATATTAGGCATTATGCACATACTGTATCTGGTTATCTTGATTTTTGTCAATTGTGTTACTGCTTTCTTCAATCTATCCTCGCCTTAAGACATTAGTACAGTATATAATATTTTGGGTTGTACCTGTATTTGTAAGTGGGAAACCTCAAATAAAACTTACGATTAAGTGCCTAAAAGGTTTCTATTCAGTAGTTCCACAACTCATTGACAGCAGCAGTCTGCAACTGCACTGAGCAGTAATCCACCAAAGCAAAAATCCTATCACATGGACCAGTGTTGAATAATCTATAACCAGAGAACTGCGGTATTAACAGTATTAACTGGTCACTTGTAATTTTAAGTGTTAACTGCAGAAGTACCTTCATAAATCCATTCCAATAGGATTATGGTTCCTAGAAAGCATACACAGCAGCAGGGACCTTGCAATACCCCCATAGCAGTGCTGTTTTATTTGTTAACCTTCTCCCGAGCAGGTTTTGAAAAATTAAATTACAAAACAGCATACCCAGACAACTGACATACTTATATTTGTTTGACAAAGGTGTCTTCTGTTTGTATATTTCTGATACTTATGTAAATTTATTTACATACATGTAATTAGTTCATCAAGAGAATAACGTCTTATTATATTAAAGTATATGTATAGTGACATAAAAATGTCGGCCCATTTATTGCTACTCAAGCACGCTTACAATAAAATAAATTTATTTTCATGTCGCTATATTTTTAAATGTATTGTCAGTTTTTATATCGATATTTAATTTATGTTATTTTCTGAATTCTTGGGTTATTTGTATGTAGACACGCTTTTAGACACAATTTTACACTGAATGTTTAGACTACCCCATATACAATAGATTGCTACATTAAGCGACTAAGATGAAGACTTACTGATTTAAAAGCAACAGTGACAACAGACAAAAGTAGTAATTATTATATTTGTATACGCTGTTTTAATATAAGCAACTGTAAAATCGTGTAAAACTCAGATTAACTGTGAATAGCATTGTCTGCTCCAACTATTGACGTAAAATAAGTTCTAGGCTGATCATTAGCAAGCTGAATGGGGGCGGATGTGCTAAAAACCAAACGTTTAAGTCCCAAAATTATAGTTGATTTTATGTTATTAGCATCAATGTACAAACGTCGCTCACTTGGCTTGGACTAACCACTTGCACAAAGCCGGCGACCCCATACTGCGCATGTCACAGCCTGGCGAATTCGCAAGGGTCCATTCGCAGCGGTTCAAAGTCTCTCGGCTGTAAATGCTTGGTTCGTTTCCATACTCATGGCGTCTACATAGATTTTGTGTGCGCTGCTGGGGCAGAGGAGGCCGAAAGAAGATAAGGGGCTGCTAAAAATCAGCTGTTTCAGGGAAAATATCGCCTTCTGTGTGGGATTATCGGACAGTCCGTATGTGTCCTGCTGGTTTCCAGTGGCGAATGTGAACGTGCCCGGTGTCCTTTTGCCTACCGAGAGTAGTGCGTCATTGAAATCCTGCGCGTCAGGTTATCGCAGACCTGCCTTGAAACTTTCTTTTTATATCTGGAGGGATTTGAAAGCTATACGTATCCATTGTGTTACATGATCTAGATCCAAAGCGCCAAGGATTTTTCAAACAGTTCTTGTTTTTCATTTATTTTTTTTGTCTTGTCCTTACGAGGAAGTTGCACTGCTAGCGTTGCTCCTGAAGTGAAAAGCTTTCGTTTTGGCAACAGTCGGCTGTGAATGACCAGCGCACGCCCTTCTCCTGTGCAGGTTTATTTATGTATTTTCGGTTTAGGACCAGCTGTCAGACTACTTGCTAGACCCGAGCAGCGTAAAATAATTTAAGGTCCAGTAAACAGTCAACACACGTACACGCGGGCATCGTTTGCATAACACTTATAAGCCATAAAAAAAAAACTTTTCCAGACCGGATTTCGTCGGATCCGTTGAAAAAGAAAAGACTGCTGTTGCACTTTTTGTTTTTGTCATTGGGGCGTGTACCATGAGAATAAAGAAGTTAGAATTTGAAGGTTTATACTATCATGCACCCTCTGTATACGTAGGGGGTGGGTAGTATCACATTTACAGTATACATATAGCTACAACCATATTTTGTAGATGAATACATCATTATGCTATGACACTCTCGGAAGATTCTGAGAGCAACACGTTTGTGTTCACTTGACTGAAAGGATCACGGATTTTTTGTGTCACTATTTCGTGCGATTGCATGCCAATTTCTTTCACTGTGTGGGTAGTTTAGAAACGTTGCTTAACTTCATCGTGCTGGGAATGCAGCTCCTGAAAACGATTTTGCAGAAGACGGACTACAGGATACCAGTCAACCCGGGCTTCAGAATGGTCTGATTTTTTTTTTAATGTTGAAGAATTGAAAACAGGTTTGTCTACGTTTCTGTTTCTACCCACCACCTCCCAACATACAACCACCACCACTTCACTCCTGTTTCTCTTAGTCAAAATGCTTATTTCGGGAGCATTGTGGTCTTTCGGTTTCTTTAAATGCCAACATTAAATACTACGGTGTATAGTTTAAACGGTAGCGATAGTATGTTACGGTAATCTCATCACATGGTCAGGCTGTGTTGGGAAAATCTGAAATTAGCGTTGAGAGCCGAAATATGCGGTCTGGCACATTCGTTTCGGGAAAAAAAAAAAAAAAAGGGGCAATTTAATTTAAAAAAAATAAGGTATAACTCCTCCTCCCAGAATAAAAAAATAAATAATAACTTTGTTGTAGTTGTGTTTTCTATACAAATAAGGAAGTTAAAGTGCAGTATCTGCTTACTGCCAACAGGTTGCACCACTGTAGTAAAATCCTCTCTTCGTAGGACAGCGCGGGGTTATAATATACATGCGAGCATTTGGAAGCTCCATTTTGTGCATTTCAAGGCGGAATAGCTGGGGATCTTTTTTCGCGTAGGAGTATAGAAAGAAATACTTTGGAGTACAACATTTTTTTATCGTGTTTTTTTTTTGCCCGTCAACAACCCGCGTATCGAGACGTAGACAGCGGACGAAAATATAGACAACAACAGACTGAAAAGCTATTCTTGGCTTTCGAGTCTACAGAGGAGATAAAGTCTTCCACTCCCGTGCTGAGTGATATCGTGAGAGATGACAGTTTTAAGAAAATGACACTCTCTAATACATATGCTTCTGAACGGTAGGCTGAAGTTTTTTTGTTGTTGCTTTTAAGTGCTTATTTCTAAAATATCCTTTTAAGGTGATCGTCTCTTCCCTCAACTATTATCTCAATGTTTGAAGATCCGACGATGTGTGTTTTTATGAAAGGGAAAAAACTTATTTTAAAACTTGAAATATTGCATGTTTTTAACACAATAATTTTTACATAAAATATTAATAACTCACTGCTGATTTTAGATGTTGAGATGATAATTATTGATTGGTATGCGTACTGATTCACACTGTCATAAAACTATTTTTGTTATTGTTTTTAACACTGCCAAACAAAACAAAATGGTCAGTTTATTGGGTTTAAAGTTGAAACTTGACTTCTGTGTAGAGAGATATGGGATGTTTGACTTCCATGACACTTGTCAAATTAAGACAAATAAGAGTAATTTATTTTTAATGTAACTGTGTTTCAAATAATTCATCTTTCATAAAGTGTAAAAATGTAGCATTCATATAAATATGCATTTCGTTTTTGCAAAAATAAGTCTTAGTGAAAAAATGACTACTGATCTCTCTTTTTGTTAATATTGTTAATCGTGTAATAAATAAACGTTTTTTTTCCCTTTCAGTCGTTTATGCAGCTCCTGGACAGAAGTCGTGCTGTATAGATTTAGGCCTTCAGTCTAGAATAATAATACTACATTTACCGATTTAGAAAAATGTGTGCAGGCAATACGTCATGAACCGACGGTAAAGCGGTGAAATTAGGCAGAAATTATCGATATTGTCCTACCAAAGGCCTACAATAAGATAATAAACTAGAAACAAAATGGTCACACTTAACGTTATGTCAATTATTATTAAGAAACAGTTTTGAAGTTTGTTGGACAGGACCTTTCCCCCATTTCTCACGTGGTTGGTTAGAATCGTGTCGTCGTGTTTCAATGAGAGGTGTGAAAGGGGTGCTTTTTCTTACCCGTTTTTTATAATGGTGTAGGATAAGCAAGCCTCCAAAAAAGAGCTGCATGTTATATAAACATATATGGGAGACGATTTGTGGTTTCGTGTCTTAATATATTTACTTCGTGGCTAGCCTTTATGTCTTCCTCATCTAAGGGAATTTAAAAAGTGTTCTCCTTTCCAAAATAATCAAACAGCACAAAGTTTGCACATTTATATAACAAAAACAAAAACATTAACTGACAGTGTTAAATGAACCTGTATAACAGTCAGTCACCTCTGAACTCTTATGTCATTGTTGTCAAACACCTAAAGAGGACTATTTGCATTCAATGCAAACATGCATTTTTGTACCATTGTTGATTTCTATATAATTTGGGAATTCCGTTTTCCAAATATGTGGTTATTTGGTGCCACTAAACTGTCCCTGTGTGCTCCCTGCAATGGACTGGCATATTGTCCATAGTGTAGTTCACGCCTTTGCCCTGTGTTTCCAAGACAGGCGTTTGGTTGCTGCCGCCTTAACCAGTTAGAACCAGTTTTCAGAGAATGGATGGAGTAAAGTTTTTAAGATAAACCATTTTGCTGATGACCCTGTATTTAGATAATGTATATTCTATAAAAGGTAAAGTCTCATTCTGTAGCTCATGCTGTGCTTACAGTCCAGTAAATACCAGAATAAAGACTTTTTTTATCTTTTTGATTTGGTTTAACATTTACAGTAGCACAACTTCTGAAAAGATTTAGAAAACAGTTCCGTGGGAAGTTCACTTAAGAAATGAAGAATTGTCTACTGAAAGTTCAGAACTATCCCATTCTGTAGATTTGGGGTATGAATTTACTTATGTATCGTTCTTAAATTGACACAAGGCAGCCACATAATGAATCTCTCAGCCTTGGTTTGAATGACCCCCTTTAATATTATTAAACCGAGGGGGGTGGGAGGCTGTTTTTGGTAGTTTGTGTAAGACTAGAATTACAGCACTCTTGATTCATAAAACAGACTGGGGTTTATTTATTTTTTCAGCATATTTAGTATTTCTTTAGTATAATTAAAATCTCTCTATGAATCCCTTGTATCTAATTTTGAAAGCAAGCCATGGTATGTTGTGCATCCATTTCCTGCAACCCATCTTAACAGCACTTTTTATTCACAGTGAAATCTAGAGAAAGGCATGACTGGTATTTTATTTGATTTTGTTTTTATTTTTGTTCTGTAAGAGCAGGGACAAGACATGGAACAAGGAGGTCTGCACCAGAGCAATAACCGTGATGAGAGTGTGAAATTTGTGGAGTACAGTGGAAGAGGGGAAGGAGCTTTCGGGGGTGGAGGGAGCACAATGGCAGCTTCCACAACTTCAACAGTGGCTCAGCCTAGCCCCAGAATACCGCCAGTTCCTGGAGACATTACTAATGGATTAGGCACCAGCGCACCCCAGCAAGAGCTTACCACAGCTGTTTCAGCCTCCATGGGACTTTACATGGAGGAGACCGACTCAAAAGTAGCAGGAAATGACTTAAAGCTGCAGCAGCAGCAAACTCCCAGCTCTTTTATGTTAGGAGAAACCAATTTCTCTCTTCTGGAGGAGAGCATCGCAAACCTGAACAGGTCCTCCACATCCGCAGATGCCCTCCCGTCCGGATCGGATCCGTTTTCGCTCAAGGCGGAGGATTTTACAGCCATGGATAAAAGCGAACTTGATTTGGAGCAGGATTCGTTTGGGCAGGGGGAGAAAGACTCCGACATTAACCCCCGGCTTTTCGGCGAGGACCAAAACACCCTCGACATCTTACAGGAGCTGGACCTCCCCGGCTCTCCGAAAGGAGAAATGAACGGGAGCCCGTGGAACTTCACCGAGTTCTACGACGGAGACGAAGCAGCCTTGCTGACCTCCTTGGCCACAGATGAAACCTTCCTGATGGACGTCAATACGTCTAAAGACACCAAGCCGGTCGTGAACAACAGTAACTGCACGGGTGTCAATGGCACAGATCAGCAGATGCTTGATCAGAGCACCCCTTTGGCCTCCGTTAAAATGGAAAAGGAGAGCTACATCCAGCTGTGCACCCCTGGGGTTATTAAGCAGGAAACTGCAGACAGAAAATACTGTCAAATGAGTGGCGCGGTTCCCGACTTGCCAGGTCCCGTGAGTTCCCCCATTTCCATCTGCGGTGTGAGCACCTCAAGTGGCCAGAGCTACCACTATGGAGTTAACGCCTCACCCACACTTAATTTACAGCAGCAAGATCAGAAGCCTGTTTTTAACTTGTACCCATCGCTTGCTGCTGTGGGCGATTCCTGGAACCGAGGCCAAACGTTTGGGGATGCCGCGGGGATGCAGAGGGGCAGCGAAACATTTGCGGGCGCACCTGGTTTCTCTGCCAACTACGCCGGGTAAGGAAAAAAGATAAAGCAACCGGTGTCGGCACAAATCAGAAGTACTGATTGTCGTATTGGTGAGAGTTGCAGTTCCTTTAGTGTATTTGAAGGCAGTGAAGTGCGTTTGTGCCTGTTCTGTCATCACGTCTCGTTCATGATGTGTGGATCAGGGTATGTGCAGTGCTGCTATAGCTGAATCCCAGCCTAAAGCTGTATGTCTCTCGTACTGTATGTCTAAGAGGCTCAGCATTTTTTATTATGGTGTTTTCTGACACTTGTCATTAGAACTTAAAGTATACATTTAAAAATTACTCAAATGTCTGTTTTTTGTGAGACACTCCATCCGTTTTCTTGCGGTGCTTCATACTGTCTACAGAACCCCCAGGTATTGTTTTGTTGTTGCCCATTTTTGCTTTGGTTAGATTCTGTTCTATAGACAGTTTCTTGAAACCAGTACTTCAGCTGGACAGCGTTTGAACAGTGTATTAATATTTTTGCTTGCATTGCAACAGGGGGATGTTTTGTGTGACATGTCATGACTTTTCTTAACAAATGACTCCCTGTAATCTATTCATGACAATGCAAAGTGCACCTTGTAGAAACTACTCATTCTTATTTTTTGTAACAAGGTGCAAACTACTGTGACCTTCTTTCCATTTTCCTGGGAATAGGTACAATTGAATACTGATGTATTGTGAAATATTATACAGTACTGGGTTTGTCTGGTCGAGGAATAAAACTGTGAAACCTTTATCAGTCTGCTTTTCTTAAAGCACCTTAATACTAGCTTAATCAAAGTGTGCCAGATATTAAAAATGATGCATTTTATTATCACTCGCTTCAGAGCTGTCAGTTCCAGTGGTTATCTGGTCAGATTAAATTACTTTTCTGTAGTGAAGAACACAATGATCTGATTGATGCTTTTGTGTCACACATTTTGTGTGCAGTGCAAGATTCCCACCAAATTTGTTCAAGAACAGGAGACAATTGAATGTGCTGTTCGTTTTTTCAACTTAAAGATTTAACTTAAGGAGAAGGATTTGGCGAAAGAGATCAGTTGATATCTCATATTGCATTTTGCAATATGGTAATTTTTTTAAAGGAGGGAATGCGATAATAGATCAGAATGGCTTGGTGTATAAGCTGCGTGATGCAGCTTGTATCGGCACAGCAATTCAAAGATGGAACCTAAGGCACACAGTCCTGACATACAGCCCTTTTGTCTTTTGTGTTATGCCATTTAAGTTTGCATAAGAGGTCAGAAGAGGTCTTAGATCGAACTGAACCCTATAGCTGGTACTGCCCAGGGTAATCTTTGTTTGAGGGCATATTTTATTATTATTAATTTATGTGGCTGATACTTTTATCCAAAGAAACTTACATTCGCTCCCGTTTTTACTTCGGGCATTATACTGAAGCCTTGTGAGTGAAGTACCTTCTGGTCACTAGTCTAGAGCCCTAACTGCCATTCTACATTGCTGCCGAATTTATGCAGAGAAACAAAAATGAAAAATTAATGGGGTCACATGGTTTCATAACTGGCAGGCCACGTGTACAAAGCCTTACAGACCAAGTCTGAGCCTTTGCCTCAGTGTGCATCCATCCAAAAAACACTGCAGAATTCATCCATTGAAGAGGGAAAAAGTGGAATCTGAAAAATGTTGTAAAGTCACTGATATTGCAGGGTAGAGGGCTTGGCCAACACATTTAGTTCAGAAAGGTTACCAATGTGAGGGGGACACTTTGGTGTCCTATCTAGCTAACCCATGTGCTGTTTAACCCCTGTTCTATACATTTGCTGTCTCAGCCATTTCAAGTGCCCTTGTCTTGCAGTCTTGATATCATGATAATGATACTGCTGTATACAGTAAGGCTTTTTTTTTCTGCATACAGTGCATGTATTTTAAAATACTGTACAGGAAACGCTGTTCAAATCAGAATCAGCAAGCTGAGGAGCAGCATTTCCTGCTCAGTTAATGACCTTGTGCTCTTTCTGCTGGGTGCACATCCTAGCTGTAAAACGAACGCTTTAGGGAAGCTGGTGTTTGGCCATTGTTTTTAGTCTCAACAAGTCGGATAATGTATTATAGCACAGCTGTATTGTTCAGTAGTGTTCTTCTGCAGGCACCTTTGCAGTGTTATAGCTCAGTAAAGAGCGCTAAGTTCTTCTTCTTTAGGCCTGACCAGATATCTGCAGCACGATGAATTTGAAAATATGCATTTTAAATAAATTGAACTGAATAAATCTATTATGCAGTAAAAGACACAACTCTTACTGTGTTAATAGCCTGATACTTTATTTACACGTGCCTTTTGAGGTTTTGCCAAATCACTAGATTATGTGTCCTGTGCCAAATTAGTGACACTTGCATGAATTGTTGTGAGGTTAATTGAAAACCTGTAGCATTCAGAGTGAATAGTGGCATTGTGACTGTTGTGGGGCCGTCAAATACGTTAGTATCCATAGGAGGGTGTATTTGTGTTTTGGTGCAATTGTGGGGGTTGTGTCTCTTTCTGAAATCCCAGAGGCATCTCTTGACTTTTGTGTAGCACTTATGCAATGCAGATGTGTATTCAGATGTTCATTGCCCATGCTTTCTTCACTGCAGGCACAATTCTTATAGGATTCTTTCACCTTTGTAGCATACTTAAGCCTTACTTTGTTGCATTGTTTAATAAGGGTGTGGCTGATTCTTCACATTTATCTCTGAGTAGTTTTCAACTTGTGGTGCACAGTAGCTCAACCTCTAACACTTACTTAATAAACAAGCAGATGAGGTTATGTTCCTTATTTTCACTGTGGGAAAAGTGCCTACGCCATTGTGAAATGGTTTTTCAGAAGTCTCATTTTCCAGCGGAGTAGGTATGGGGGCCCTGTGCATTGCCAAACGGAGTGGAAGTTCGTGATTGTTGCATGTGTGAATATTCTGTTATAGAATCCTATCCTGCTTCTGCACTTCTCATTGAAAAGTCTGGCCCTTTCTTAAAAAGTTAGAGGTGTGAGAATCATAGTCTGATCTCACACCTCTACATGGTGAATCAGCAAGGGTTCACAGCACATGCATCGTGATGACTAATATCTGGCATATCTTAACACAAGCATACTGTCATTACCATTTGCAGAATACATATGCAAGGCTTCCAGCATCAGTGTGTCCGTTGCAAATTGCATCAGGGTGAAATGTTAAAAGTAATAAGAGAAATGGCATCTACATGCGAATCAGGTGTTTTTTTTTCAATTTTAGGAAGATAATTAAGACCTTTATCTTCCAGTAATTATCTTTCAGTTGCTGCAAAAATAAATCTGCAGTAGCTAAACAGTTACATTGTGCTTTCCTCATGATATCAGTTTCAGGTTTTTATTTGCTGTGGGATGACCCAAGTTTTTGTTTCATCAGTTTGATACAGGCAATTTTTCATTTTTTCTAAATGAATTGCGTCATTTTGGTTGATGTCAGATTCACAGATAATGGCAGAGAACTTTGCGGGCGTAAAAAGTGATTCCCTTTGTAGTTTTCACTTTCTGGGTATATCGGTGAAATGAGGCTACATCAACTGTGAAAAGTTGGATTATTTCTATGTTGGAATATTAATAAAATGGAATCCCAAAATTTGTATCACCTCAGACATTGACATTTTAGTTGGACAAAATTGATCAGCCTGGTGCTTATTACTGTTGCGTGCATTACACAATTTAGCTATTTATCTTTAAAAATAAGGCCTTATTCTAAAGCTAAGATATGATTGTAACCTCTGCACCTATTAATCTTCTTTATCACCGCATCAGGTTCTTTGTGCAAAAGAATGTGGAAATGCAAATCACCTAAGCAGGCAATTCAATCAATTTAGTAGTCAAGAGCTCATTTGCAATGCAAATTCCAACTCGGTCACTCTCAAAGACCAGAGCTGGTCATTGCTGACTTAACGGAAACAATTTAACAAATTAACTGACAAAAAAAATCACATGTTCCATGTCTTTACAAATTGATGATTGTAAGCAATCCTATAAGACTAGAAAATGTGCTGGACTGTAATACTACATTGTTTCATCACGTTTTGTTTCCATTATTTGTTTTTATTGGCTTTTCATGTTTTTGAGCTATGATACTATGGTGGTTTTTGTGGTTTCATAAGCAGCAAAGTTTATGTTCTCTGTTATTTTTGTGTTGAAAACACTTGTTTAGGATTTCAGTTGTAAATGTTGTGCATTGTCTACTGTATATCATCAAGTAAGTCAAATCTAAACAGAACACAGGCATAATGTAAAATGTAAAATTATGCCATTAAAATAATTTAATGAAAAATACAGTACATGTAAAAAAAAACATATTATAGTCTTAGGGGGCTTTAGTTCCTAGAATGCTTGGAGAGGCTGATTTAGTTCAGAGTTCATTTGGCATCCGAGAACGGTTCATTTTGGCAGGTGTGAAATGTCAGAAATGTTTGTTTGAGATCAGAGTGTGCACCAGAGAAGCAAACTAGTGTTGACTTGAAACAGTCCCTGGCTCAGCTGAGGAGGAATCCAGCGCAGTTCATTCTCAAAGTCGGGCAGTCTAAAAGCAATCACGCAGCTACAGTTCGCACACAAAAGAAACTAAGCGGATCCCTAACCCCCAGTTTTCAGTTCAGTGTGAACAGGTCCATCGTTCATAATATCTTTTTTTATAAGGAGTTAACAACGATTGTCTGGGAGTGATGACAACTAAGTTCACCTTTGCATCAGCTGCCCTAACTTGATATCGTCCCTGACATAATTTCCCCGAAAGCTATAAATATCATGAATAAGCCTTTCTTCATCTTATTCATGTTTTGTATCCCTTCTCCACACTGTTTCTACCTTTGCGGCTCCTCCCTTGGTGAACATCTCGCTTCGAGTGTCTTCATCTTGTGGTCAGGGGGCTGGCTCTCGGCCAAGTGGATTAAGCCAGATCCTCCCATGACTAAGCACTCAATCAAGGTTTCCAGTGCACATTTCACTCCTGAAATGACTCAAAAACCTCCACAAAGATATCCTC